GATTTTTTCTAAACATGTATCAAAACCTATGCAAACATTTGATACTCCAGTGTAACCCCAACCTACCCATCTGACTTATAATTTGAACAATTTTTTCATATACATTCCTATGTAAAAAATTTTATTGGCCATTGTGGCCCCATTGTACCCCAAGGGGTCATGATTTGAACAAACTGGAATCAACACCACCTAAGGATGATTCCAAATGAGTTTCATCTTTCCTATCCCAATGGTACTTGAGAAGAAGATTTTTAAAGACTTTTACTATATATATGTAAAATTTTGATCAGCCATTGTGGCCCCATCCTACCCTAAGTGGTTATGGTATGAACAAATTTGAATCTACACTACCTGAGGATGATTCCACTGAGTTTCATGTTTCCTTGCTCAGTGGTTCTTGAGAAGAAGATTTTTAAATGAAGCTATTTTTTTTTTACCAATCTGTTATTACCTACCCTTGGAAGAGGGTGTGGTCCTTTATTTGAACAAACTTAAATCCCATTCACCTAAGGATACTTTGTACTATGTTTGATTGAAATGAGCTTGAGAAGAAGATGATAATGTGAAAACTTTAGCATGACAAAAATAGCGACAATGCCAACGCCAGACAACGGATAAATTTTAATCAGAAGAGCTCAATTGAGTCTTAAGCTTAGGTGAGCTAACGATGATTCCAGTCTTCATAAATGCTTTCTTGTAGTACATATTTTTCAGAAACTAAATCCTACATCAATTTACCTTTGGGCTTCATTTGTACAGCTTTGTACAAAAAATAAGATGTTATGTTTCTTAAAGGAAAATGTAGAAAACAATGTTTCTATTACTGGTAAGTTTTATGTTTTAGCAAATCAAAACATATGAAAGCTGGGATGATGACAGGTCAGGAATAGAATTTATCTGTCATGTATAAATATAACACAGAAATGATCATAATTATTTTCTGTAAACTTTATATTTACAATATTAACAGCTTACATAATTTATTTCTTTTTACATTCTTCATCACTTTATTTTGCTTTTTTTTTCTTTAATTAAACTACAATTTTCACAATGAATGATCTTGCTGAAAATTTAGTCCCTGTCTAGTGCATACAATAATTTAAAAGACACAAATTTCAATCTGTTCCAACATGTATCCACTGACATGATTTGGTGTCTCCTGTTTGAAGCATTCACAATATTATGAAGCAGGAATGATACGTAGTACTTACCACGGATAATACTGTTTGTTATCATACATGCAGGCCAGATACCCAACGGTGTGGTAAATTAAAATGACACAAGGGAGAGTAGCTCATTATGGCCATAAAACTGACATGAGCTAACTTTTGATCTCAGTCTCACTTTTCCACTATTAATCCCTTTCGAAAAAGTGAGACTGGGATCAAATTGAGCTCATCTCAGTTTTATAGCACTAGAGGCAGGTATCTGCACATACACTGTAAACAGCAATGTTATATGGGTTGTCACTTGTACCATACTGGTATATATAGTCTAGGAAATTTGATCCTTTCTGTGTCTTTTACATTAGTACAGGTTTTGAATGACTTGTGATTTGGAAAAATGAGGTTCATTTAAATTAAAATTATTTGTATATTTTTAAAAACTGTCAAAATCTAATATAATGTAGCTGTTTTAAAAACTCATTTTCTATATTTTCCTGTTACCTACATGTATATATCCTTTTTTGAACATTAACAATAGAAAAGCAATCTAAATTTCAATTACTTTTAAAATTTTTAAAATAAATCTTACCCATTGCTCTTTGCATATGTGTAAGAGTTTTTCCCATTCCACTTGAAAGTGTTCCAGTCAAAGAGCCTAAAATATTACGTTCCAGGAAGCTGGACATTTTGTATTGTGGCACATCTACTGGAGCAATAATGTCCCAGTCATCCAATCCTGTGGGGAAAGAATCAAACTACACAGAACAGAAAAATCTTACAAAACAGCTGAAAAGCATAATGTCTTAAAGAGACCATTTGGCATATAGGTACTTATTACAATGTATGTCCAAAGTTATTTATTCTTCAGAGATATTGTAACTGAGTAACTTTCTTTCAAGAGTTTGTGATTATTCTTTAAAATAAACTTCGTAATACACCACATGTACTTAGATTTGACACATAAATGCATTTAAATTATTGATATTTCTCTAAATAGGATCAAATGTTTTATGTTAAAATAATTTAATTTTGGTTGTAACTCATTGGATAAAACTATTACTTTGTAGCATATGATAAATTTGTTGATTATGTCAAAATGTCTTGCATCAAATTTGCACAATTTGAAGTCACAGGGTTTGACATTAAGGCACGTCCGACCAACTGAGTCTAGTAAAAGATGGGTCCAGTCGGGTAAAATGTCTGTGTACTAGACCGACTGGTCGTGTAAGAAAAATTAATTAAGTTTTAACTTATTACATATTTTAAAACAAATCATTTATTGTCAATGGAAAAATAATAATTAAAACATTTCTTACCCCAGAAAAAAAACTACATATGCAACAGACAGCAAGACCTAAGCACTTAAGAATCTATTAATAACCCCAGTCATTCGTAACTAATCGGCCATTTTCCTAGAGAGAAACAAGAAGCCATTTATCGTTCACGAAAATGACTGAGTAGTACGATTGTCATTATCGAAAGATTTAAGTTTTCAAAATCGAAAGGCCATGTAAATGGCAATAAAACTATAACAATAAAAATATTTATACTATACTTAAATTCTTTGAACATTTTTAATGGTATCAATATTAATATTGTATACAAGTTGAGTAAATTAGGACTCAACACAACAAGCCACATGTATATGATCTAGTTTTGATGTGACGTGTGCGGGAAAATGTCATTATTTAATTCTCATCATCTGTACCGAAAAAAAGATTTCAGGGCTAGTGGTTAAAGGATCAGGGCTAGTAAAAATTTGCCAGAGTAGCCGGACTGGTCTAGTATTCCAGAAGCTTAATGTCAAACCCTGACTCATTTTTAAAGGCATCATCTTATTTTTTTACACTAAATGAAATAAAATTAAATTGTAAGGAAAAAATTTAACTGTAACAGCTAGTTTCTCAATTTAAACAGTTTATGTTTATTAATAAACTGCTTCAAGGTACATATATATATAGAGCATAAACTGCTCTAACCAATTGTCAATCATTGAATTCCATCAGGAAAAGTTTGAATTTAATTTGTGGTTTAATAACATTACAGTGGACCTTCAGATATCCGGACGCCAGATATCCGGATGCTTCAGTATCCGGACGATTTTTCATTGGAACGAAATTTTTTAATGTTATTTTGTCTTGTTTGACTTGTGATTCAGATATCCGGATGCTTCACATATACGGACAAATGGACTGGGAACCAAAGCGTCCGGATAAATGAGGGTCCACTGTATTTCAAAGAAATGTTTTTGTAACATATATACATACCGTATAGCAGGTATTTTTTACTACTGTAATATTTTACGAATTTCTGTTGAAATAGGGTGTTTTAATTTTTTATGTGTTTATTTTTTACGAATTGAGCATGTCTTTAAAAATTAAAATCACCAGAGGTGAAATTCAAGATCAATGTTTTAGTTTTTTGAATGCGTTAACATTAAAATTACATGTTTTAAATGTGTCTGACCGACTTGATGTAAAAATAAAAATGAAATTGTTCCCGTGATAATGAGTGTCAATTCATTAAATGATGATATGTTTATTCATTTGTATACCTTTATATATCACATGCACTGCATTTATTCCTGTTTCTCTAGTATAATTATTGTTGCACAACAACATGTGCCCATGTTCATTTTAATGGAAACAAAAGAGAGACAACTCAACCATCATGATTAAGTTGACAGAATTACAGGGGACGCGGATTACAGTGTACTAAAATGTCGAAGTTTTTACTGGAAGCAAATGACAAAGAAGAAAGGGTCAAAGTCTTGAAAAACGGATATCATTTGAAAACTTCAGTCTGTAATAATTAAGCCATTATTAGAAATTATGCCTCCCGAAAGAGTAACCAGGTAATTGACAATGTTTGTATAATTTGTGCATTAAGATTTATTTGCTTGATCCTAATTGATGATCAATTAAGAAGTCCCCAAAAATACCAACAGTTGTCAGTACTAATTCTACAGCCTCCAGGTACTTAGCTAAATGGCAACAAAAATTTTGAAATAATCTCATAATATGATGTTGAAAATTTAGGTAAGGCCATTTTTTTAATACCTCTGTGAAATTTCACACGTTTAAATTTTACAGATTTATAAAACTCATAAAAATTAGCAGCACGTAAAAAATATCCGTTAAACGGTAGAATAGGTGCTCCCAAAGATGAAACAAAATAAAACAAGCTATTACACCAGGGAGCAGATTTCAAAGCATTAATTCATTTACAGTAACTAATTTAAATAATTTGAGCCCCCCCCCCCCACCTCTACCGAACCCTTGTCCTGGAGGCCTTGCATTTCACAAAACTGGAAGGACTATTGCTCATCATAGCTGTATAGGAAGTTCATCTGCTTAATACCCAGGTGCAGAGAAGATTTTTGAAGAAATAATGCATTTTCACTGCATAATCAAAAGAGCTTCACCCTAACAACAGAACCCCTGACCCAATTTTGGAGGTAAATCATCGAAATTCAAAATGGTGTGGATTAATTTTTACAAAATTTTACCACTGCTTTGAGAGACACGCCTCGCAAATTTGCCTCAAAAATTTCATAACTATGTATGTTTAATCCCAAGGTGCAGGGAAGAAGATTTTCAAAGAATTAATGCATTTTCTTTATATAATCTATAAAGCCCCACCCTAGCACTTGAGCCCCTGATCCTGGGACCATGAATTTCACAATTTTAGAAGAGGAATCGATGCTTATTTCAATCAAGCCAACAGTTTGACTGCTTGATGTCAAGGAGTAAAGAAGAAGATTTTGAAGACTACCTTATTATACAGGGTTCTTTTCGCCCTGTGTTATATTCATCCTTTTACATCTGAAAACAAGTTTGCCCCATTTAAAATTCGCCCAGGAAGATTTTTGTTTAAGGTATTACAGTGTATACTGTTTACTTTGAATTCCCCCGTGTTAAATTTGCCCATTTCCGATGAGGGCAAAAATAAAACAGGAGGGAAAATTTCCCTGTATACAGTATTAGTTTTATTAGTTTTAGCCCCATCCCTCAGGACCCAAGGGGGCAGGGACCATGAAATTCACAATTTTTGTTCCCCTTCACCCATAGATGCTTTACGCTGAAATTGGCTGAGCGGTTGCAGAGAAGAAATGTTTAAATGTTAACACACAACAAACGATGGACAATGACAGACGAAAACAGCAATAGGTCACTTGAGCGACTCAGGTGACAGTGACCTAAAAAATGCATTTCCACTTATCACTATTAATCAGCAATAATCGGTAGTGCCCCCACCCAACTGGAACACCTGAACCTAGGTCCACACATTTCACATTTTTGGAAAAGGCACTCTTGCTAATCTTATATGTTTCATTAATATCAAGGAACAGATTTCAAAGCATTAATTCACTTTCAGTCTACAACTAGAAAAATGACCAGACAGGAAGGACCCCGTTGAGGGGTAGAAATATAAGAGTGCAGCTTAGGAAATAAGAATTTTACTTGATTACAATTTTTTTCAAAAAATATATGAAGAAAATTACAGAAACAACTATATTTTTTAAATTTCAAGATAATTCCTGATTGTCCAAAAACCTGTAAATAGTGACCTGGTATTTACATAAAACAAGGATAATCTCATTAAATCAATTAAATGTGTATTAAAAAAAGATTTACGCAGGTGTTTTGTAAAATTCTAGCCTTCAGTGAATGCAAATATCACCCAGGGTTGACCTCAACTTCAAAACAAACATCAGCTGTAGACCAAGGTGTTCATTAATTTTCATGTGGCAGATAAAGATAAGCCTCTAAATTTTCTGCAGCAAGCAAGATATTAATTTATCTCAGTGGTTGACCGTAAATCTGGAATTTTTGCGTCGATTTTATTTTTTGCGAATTCATTTTTTTTATTGGTAATAGGGGGTCAAAATGCTTTTGATTAATTTTTATGTTTCAAAATTTTGCAAAATTACACACTGCTTTGTTTACATTTTTTTTTATTGGTAATATATTTTTGGCATGCAATACATGAAAAATAAAAATATTTTTGTGAATGCAATGAACTCCCAAATTTGCTAAAAATTTATCTACAGCAAAAATTTCAACCAGTGTAGATAATATACGTATTTAATGATTTAAGAAAAAACAATGAATTTAATATCTGTGAGCTAGTGCAAAATTTCAGATATTTTTTTTAAATTCATTTTTATTTTCTTTTCATTAATTAAATTTAAACTTTTTTTCAGCAATAGACAGAATTTTTGGGGTTATTATCTGATTACCTGTTAAAATTAACAGCCTTACGGAAGCAAAAAAAGAACTAGAACTGTCCAAATGGGAAAAATATTTTTGACAAAATACCCCCTGCTGGGTTTTTTAGAAGTGCTAAATCATGAATATTTTATGGATCTAAGAGAGAGAGAGAGAGAAATGCTAAAACATTTTAAATGCAAATATAATTGCTCATATTTTTTATAAATGAAATGAAGGCGCAGCCTAATAAAATAAAATAGACCAAATATACGGACCAGACATAAATTATGAACTTTTTCTGTCAGAGACCTTAAACTTGCATAAATGACCTTGGTTCAAAGTCATGACACAACCTCAGGTCATAAGCAATGTTTGTGTGAAATAGTAGATTCAAGTTTTTCCATAATAAAGAAAAGATATGGACCGGACACAAATTATAAAATTTTTCTCCCAGTGACCTTTAACTTCCCCAAATGACCTTGGGTCAAAGTCAGGACACATCCTTAGGTCAGGAGCAATCTTTGTGTGAAATGAGAACCTACCAAGTCTATCCATAAGAAAGATATGGACAGGACACAAATTATGAAATTTTTCTTCCAGTGACCTTGAACTTCCCCAAATGACCTTGGGTCAAGGTCATGACACATCCAATGGTTATGAGCAATCTTTGTGTGAAATTAGAACCTACCAAGTTTATCCATAAGAAAGATATGGACCTATTATGGAATTATGAAATTTTTCTTCCAGTGACCTTGAACTTCCTCAAATGACCTTGGGTCAAGGTCATGACACACCCTTAGGTCATGGGCAATCTTTGTGTGGAGTAGTACATTCTAATGTTCCTCCGTAAGAAAGATATGGACCGGACACGTTTGCACAGACAGACGGACAGACGGACAGACAGCTAGACTGACAGCTGGACGGACAATATGATTCCTATATACCCCCCCAAACTTCGTTTGCGGGGGGTATAATTAAATAAATAATTAAAAAATAAATAATAATAAATGATATCTTAATATCTTGTTTTGAGATTTCAATATAATCATAACTCATTGTGTGTGGTATTTTAACCAAAATAAAGTATGAACAATATCTAAATCCACATCATTCAAAATTGACCTTAACTTCAAAACAAACTTTATTTGCAGACAGAGGTGGTACAGTGATTAATCTCAATGTGACAGATAAAGATAATGCTTAGGATTTTCTTCAAGTGGAAGGTTAATTAATCCCAAGGGATTCTTGCACAGGTTTCATAGTTTACAATAGGAACATTCTCAGCAGTTATCGCTCTTTGCCCATTCATTCTTATGCATATTTAAGGAATCTACCCCACCACCCCAGCTCCAAACCAGAAGACATACAGATCCAAACTTAGCATCAAAATATGTCTTTCTGCCTACTAAACCACCATACCAAATTTAAACTTAATTGGGCAACCTTAAAAAAAAAGTTATTAAAAAGAACAGAAAATTTGTGGACGGAAGAATGACAGACAGACAGACAGAGTGATTACTATAGGGCACGCAAATCCTTGTGGGGCCCTAATAATAAGAGCCCTTCACTGCCCTATATGGTACCCCTGATCCAGGGGTCTTGAAATTCATAATTCTGGCAGAATGTCCCTTGCTCATCATTAACTATGTAGTAAGTTTAATATCCAGAAATGACGAAAAGGATTTTTTTTTTAAATTACCTTTGGTAATGCGTTTTCATTATATAATCAATAGAGCCCTACTCTAAAACCAGAACCCCTGATCCTGATGCCATGAAATTCACAATTTTTACCCTTCCCCATCATAACTTTGAATGTAGTTAGATTAATACCTAGGAGCATAAAAGAAGGTTTTCAAAGAGGCACCCTTCTTCATCATAACTTTGTATGGAGTTAGTTTGTTAAATGCTTAAGAGCAGAGAAGATTTTCAAAGAAATTATGCACTTGAACCCCTGACTCTGGTGCCATGAATATCACAGTTTTGATAGAGGACTCAATGCTTATTAACTTATGCCAACAGTTTAACTGCTTGATGTCTAGGAATAAACTATGTGCCAAAATTGGTTGAATGGTTGCAGAGACGAAGCTGAAAATGTTCAAATATTTTAAAACTCACAATGCATGATGACAAACGAAAACAGACAGCAATATGTGAGTTTACTCAGGTGACCTAAAAAGTTGTACATCATTCATCAACTTCAAAAACATTAAATGTAACATTTATTAAGCTCTGAACACTACAACAAGAGGCCCATGGGCCACATCGCTCAACTGAGCAGTATGCTGAGGAACAAGAAAAAAACAATTCAGTAAATGCATAAGTAGTCCTGATCCTTAAAGCGGGTAGGCTTTGAACAAATTCAATTCTATGCAAACTTGAAACTAAACTCAGGATGATATCATAATTTATGACTAACAGTGACTTTTTCCCTATGAGTTTGAAAAACTTTTATTGTGGTCCCACCCTACCCCATGGGGTTATCTACACTATACCTGAGGATGCATCCATATAAACATGACCAACCACGACTTTGCTGTTCTTGAGATTTTTATGCGCTCGGCGGATTGATAGAACCGGCATATATTGTTTTTGTCCTGTCTGTTGTCTACTTTAACATGTGCCATAACTTTTAACATATATACTCGCCTGTAGGTCGTTTTTTGGGGAGTTAAATTTTGGTCTTTAACTCTATGTCCGACTTATAGGCAAGTCATCAAGAGAATGGTATTTTCTCTGGTCTCTGAAATGTAGTATTTTATATGCATTTCTGACGATTATGGAGGAAAATGTATTTATATTCAAATGTATATAATTTATGTATTCTTAGATTGTACATAATAAAGTTCAAGTATTTACATATTTTAATTTTTTTTTTGTATCGTAAGTGAGCATTACTTATTTGTTTAATGATTTAGGACTAAATATTGGTGTCATTTTGAAAATTAATAAATGAAACCAGGTTAAAACATCATTGAATTTACTTGAAATTGTCACCCGATTTCCGCAAAAAAATTGCACCGACTTATAAGCGGTTTAATTGCAAATCCCACTAAAATAGCGTCAAAAAATACAACCGACTTATAGGCGGACCGCCTTATAGGTGAGTATATACAGTAAACCATGGGAGATAAAGACTTTATATTTGACAAGCATATTCTACATTTTAGCTCTTTCAAATGACACCAAAGATAATGACCTTTTGACCTTGACTGTGACCTATATGCTAAAAAAAGGTTTTTTGAACTTTCATCATAACTTTTGAACCATAAGAGATAGAGACTTCATATTTAGTTTGCACATTCCACTAATTAAGATCTTTCAAATGACCCAAAGACAATGACCCTGTGACCTTGACTGTGACCTATATGCTTAAATTTTTTTTTTTAACTTTGTTGTTGCAGCCGAGCGCATGATGTTTCACAAACACATCTTGTTCCTATTCTTATGTAAAACTTTGATGGTCCATTATGCCCCCCTACCCCAGCAGTCCTGATTTGGACAAATTTGAGTCTACACTACCTAAAGATGCTTCCATATAAACATGACACATCATAACTTTGCTTTCTTAAGAATAAGATTTTTGAAGATTTTTCCTATATATTCATATATAAAACTTTTATTATCCATTGATTCCTACCCCTATCCCTAGAGGTCATGATTTGAATTATTAAAACCTGAGGATACTTCCATATATTAATAAGAAGATTTTTAAAGTTTTTTCCAACATATTCCTACGTAAAAATTTTATTGTCCATTGTAACCCTGTCCTAACCCCAGGGATCATGTTTTGTATAATCTTGAATCTACCTTCTTTCATATAAATATGATCAACCAGGGCTTTGCTGTTTTTAAAAAGAAGGTTTTTAAAGATTTTTCCTATATATGTACTTATGTAAAACTTTGATTGTCCATTTTGGCCTCATCCTACCCCAGGGGGTCAAATTTAAATCTACACTACCTGAAAATTTTTCCACCTAAGATTCATCTTTCCTGGCCCAGTGGTTTGTTAGAAGAATATTTTTAAAAGATTAAGATGTCATTAATTTTTTTTTATATCCCCTTGGAATGGAGTTGTGGTCCTTCATTTTAACAAACTTGAATCCCCTTAACCAAATAACAATTTGTTGCAAGTTTTGTTGAAATTGGTCCAGTAGTTCTTGCAAAGAAGTTGAAAATATGAAAAGTTTACAGATGATGGACAGCTAGACAGACAGACTCCAGACTAAATGTGATCAGCAAAACTCATTAGAGCCTTCGGATTAGGTGAGCTAAAAAGACTAGCAATTAAAAAATTTACATAAAATTAAACAGAGCAAAATTTTGTTTGGGAACAAATCTGTACCCTCTTCAAATGGTCTGGCATCCACTTTGAGCTGCAAAAATGGATCTGAAGCACTTTGAATGGCTGCATCCATATCCCAATCAGACAGCATACTCAGGTAGATTTCCTGTCCATAGTCATCTCTAACAAGGTAACTCATAGTAAAATCTCTAGAAACAAATGTAAACAGATATAAACATTTCAGGAATCATATCTTTTGGACCAGTCTTCTAATGGCAATGAGTAATAAAACTTGATAAATATAAAATAAAACATGGCAAAATCTGTATCAAACCCCAAAGTCTAGGGTTGATTTGGGGTGTAATACAGATTTTACCACGTATTGCTGTTTTTAGTTTACATTTGAAAAAATTGTCCAAAAATCCAGGGATTTTCCACTCTGTTTTAGGAATGCATGCCCTTGGAATTTGGAATTTTAATTAAATCTTTTCACTTTATATTGGAAAATATTACTGCATGATTTTTTTTCAAGAGAAAAAAAAAACACTTATGAATAAATTGATATTTACTTTATTATTATTCTGAACTTTACATCAGAGAACAGATGAACTATAATACAGTTTTAGCAAACTTTCTTAATATTTTGTAGAGCCAAAAGGTGATATGTAATAGAATGGGCCTATATTTGGCACTACAAGGGGATGGAAGCTAGAACTGTCCAAATGGGACAAAATACCCCCCGCTGGGTTTTTCAGAGGTCATAAATCATGAATATTTCATGGATCTAAGAGAAGAGAGAAATGCTAAAACATTTTTAGTGCAAATGTAATTGTTGCTCATTATATTTTAATAAATGAAAGAAAGGCGCAGCCTAATAAAGAAAATAGACTAAATATACAGACAAGACACAAATTATGAAATTTTTCTTCCAGTGACCTTGAACTTCCCAAATGACCTTGACCTAAGGTCATGACACTCCCTTAGGTCATGAGCAGTCTTTGTGTGAAACGAGAACCTACCAAGTTTATCCATAAGAATTTCATTTCAATTCAGCAGGTCATATGTTCACTACTTTGGACCAGACACAAATTATAAATTTAGTTGTTTATAAAGAATCCCAGAGGTCATCATCTTTGTGTGAAATCTTTGTGTGAAATATCAAAGCGTAAAATTAATATCAATGGCGTAATAGCATAATTTTGTGGTACAAAGTGAAAAAATTACGCCAAAAGCAGTAGGGTAGGCAGGTCTGTGATATGAACAAATTTATTTCTTCATTAACTTTTTTGATGCTTTTAAATTAATAATCAAACATGGTTTTGTGAAGAATTTTAATGATTTTTCCCATGTATTCCTATGCAAAACCTTAATCACCCATTGTTGCTCCACTCTGTGGCAAAACTGGCCCAGTGTCTCTTGAGAGAAGAAAATGTGAAAAGTTTACAACAACGATGCCAACAACAAATTTTGATATAACCTTTATATTCCTTTGTTATGAAAAGCTCACTTGAGCCTAATCAGCTTAAGTGAGCTAATAGTACATACCCTCTTATATTGAAAGCACTTGCTATTATGTGTTGAAGCATTTCAAATGATGTAATTTGTGGGTCCAATGAAAATTTCTTTGACTCTGGCTGCAGAAAACTTTCATATTTCTGAAATTAAACAAGACACCTATGGGTCACAATATAAACCTGAGTAACTTTAGTCCAAATGTTATTAAGAAGTCTTACAAAAATGTTTAATTATTTACAGAAGTGAATCTAATTATTTTCCAACACATTTTGGATTTTATTTTTTATGGTTCTCTAAATCCATACACATGAAGATGATTCAATTTCATTACCATTATTATACCTTTACTGATTTTTTGATCCTAAATTAAAGTTAGGCAGTAAATTAAAGTTAGGCAGTAAAATGTGAATAATTCCCTAGAAATCTCTGTATATATGGACTAATCCCCGTAAAACAGTTCATTTTTTATTAAACGTTAGTCAAATTCAAATAATTTAATCCCTGCATGTTTCGGAAGCTAATTCTCCGGTTACCTGTAATCTTCTAGATTTTACTTTTGCAATATCATCAATAGTTAACGTAATAGGACTAATCCCCATAAGCTAGTCCTGAATATTAAGCTAATTCCCGTCATTCGTAATCTTCTATTTTTTTTTAGTTGTTTATTTTTGTATCGGTATAATAACAAGAGGCCCAGGGGCCACAGCGCTCACATTAACTTTTTTGAGCACATTGAATTTTAATAATTTTTCCCTAAGAAAAAGCACATATCAGATCAGAACTGCCAACAACAAAGTTTAGTAACGTTAAGTGAGCTAATAGTACATACCCTCTTATATTGAAAGGCTATTATGGGGGGTAATTTGTGGGGGGGGGAAAACTTTCATATTTCTGAAATAAACAAGACACCTATGGGTCACAATATAAACCTGAGTAACTTCAGTCCCAAAAATGTTTAATTATTTACAGGGGATCATGATTTGAAGAACTAGAATCTACACTACCTGAGGATGATTCCATATAAATATTACTAATCATGGCTTTGAAGTACTTGATAAGAAGATTTTAAAAGGTTTCCCTATATATTCCTATGTAAAACTTTTAACAGCCATTATGGCCCAACCCTAGCCCCGGGGTCATGATTTGAATAAACTTGAATCTACACTACCTGAGAATGATTCCACATGAGTTTCACCTTTTCTGGCCTAGGGGTTCTTGAGAAGAAGATTTTTAAAGATTTTTTCTATATATTCCTATGTAAAACTTTGATCGGCCATTGTGGCCCCGCCCTTCCCCCGGGGGTCATGATTTGAACAAACTTGAATTTACACTACCTGAGGATGCTTCCATATAAGTTTCATCTTTCCTGGCACAGTGGTTCTTGAGAAGAAGATTTTTAAACATACCATCAAATTTTCACTATTTCTCAATTATCTCCCCTTGAATCATGGCGTGGCCCTTCATTTGAACAAACTTGAATCCCCTTCACCCAAGGATACTTTGTGACAAGTTTGGTTGAAATTGGTAAAGTGGTTCTTGAGAAGAAGTCGAAACTGTGAAAAGTTAACGACAACAACAACGACATCAACGACGACGACAGACAACGGACAAATTTTGATCAGAAAAGCTCACTTGAGCCTTCGGCTCAGGTGAGCTAAAAAAGCTAAAAAGTATATCATTGAGGGAATTGGCAAGAATCCAGCTTCCCTTGACCAGGACTATTTCCCTAGGCTGCACCTCTGGAAATAGTCCTGGCCTTGGGTAACTGGAATCTTGCTTACTCCCTCAATGATATACTTTAACTGTATACGAACATATTTATTTAGTAGATATTAAATCATTATATCAACGAGTCAATGACATATTGTCAATTAAGGTCAAGATCTAGTAAATGGAAGGTGCATATAGATTTTTCAAATTTAAGAAGTCAATTCCTTTAATGATGCTTTATAACATTAGCTTGGTCAAAATAGGTGTTTCGGGGCATAATTTGTAGAAAAACAAGATGAAAAACCATATTTTAATCTGTCATTTTCAATGAAAAATTAAGAAAACCAGTATTGGAAATGGGAGTTTTTTCCATATCAGACAAAGAAAATGTATCCAGATTGCCTACAGTTTTTCTGAAAATGGTTATTTGTATGTTCTTAGTCTCTACATTAAAATAATGTTAAATTTAAGATAGGTATCAGGACTACTTTTCATGTGATTTCAAATTGAATTCCATGAAAATGCTTTATTTTCTACACATTTCTATTAGAGCCTTAAAGTACGGGAAAAAGAAAGTTGAAAGTGATTATGACGTCATAATGGATTTAGCTCTGAAAAGTTATTCCAGAGTCATTTACTAGATCTTGACCTTAACAATGGTAATTTCAATTCTTATGCCCATGTACGATATATCCTGGTAGGCTTGAGATAAAAGATACCACAGAGTCTGACACATCTGTTTCATACTTGAATATTTTACTTGAAAAAGATGTTAATGGTAATCTAACAACCAATCTCTGTAATAAAACTGATGATTTTCACTTTACAATCGTCAACTTCCCAAGTACTTTTGCAGCCATATACCTTCATCAAGTGCATACAGAATTTATATATCTTGGTTGATTTGATACGCAAGAGCATGCATGCTCTACGTATGAACAATTTCAACAAGAGGCCCATGGGCCACATCCCTCACCTGAGCATTGTGGTTGGGAAAAAATAGAAATTGGTTTAATATTGAAACGTTTAAAGTAGGTCTACACTCGCACTACGTCATTTACGAATAGTAAAACCGGAACCACGCTTCCTTTTTCCGAGATGTGATTTTTGAACTATATTGGTTTGACTTTTACTTAGCGTTTTAAATATCCGGTAACGAATTTGCTCCCAGTCGCTCGTGTCAACAAACATCCAAACACTGATTCTACAGTTTGATTAATTAAAAAGAGATGGTTGGGAACAACTTTCGGTTGACAGAAATAATTAGGTAATAAAATGATATTTCTGTGAATGATGCATGTGTTACATGCCGTGCCGATATCACGGACCACGAACATGCTACATCAGAACAATTTCAAACTGTCGAAGTCAAGGCAACTATATTGTCGGCGGCCAAGTTAAAGTTACTAGTGATAATTCGGAAGAAAAGTAATGACTACGATTTGACTTAGACAATTTATGATTGTTACTAATTAAAAAGTCCTCGGTGCAGGCCTTATGTGCTCCAAGCACGAAGAGGACTAAGTAAGTAAAGTACTAATTAAACATTACAAAATTTGATTTACTTGGAATAATAATTATTGTTTAAGACGCATACCCCCCCCCCCCCCCCCCCTTCAACCTGCTTACCCACAAATCACAATGCAAAAATTATCTTTTAATATATATAATATAACAAAAGTTGATTCGCTTGCAGCATACTTACTTTCTGTAACAAAATTATCCAGTTTGTGAGAATCAGTCAATCACTTTCATTTTCATTGTCTCCAATTTACAGACAAGTGTGTTTTAATTTTTTTAAAGTGTAAAATAAGATAAATTTTAGGGACAATAGGTATTGGGTGTGTATAACTATTGTTTTAAATATATGTACAACTTTCTTAATACAAATATACACTCAAACATTAACAGTATTACAGGAAAATGTGGCAATATATTACTTCTGGAAGAAGGAAATAAGGGGGGTCCCTTTAGTGTAGAGCTCATACCACGAAAAGTAATGCGTCAACATATGATTTTTTTAAGCTTATTCTTTTTCTTAAATATTATTTAGTAAAAATAATGCAAATTTACGAAGTTTGAGTCCATAATTTTTTTAAAATGACCGAGATTGACCTGTGAAGCATATTTTCTCATACTAAATTTTGATACGTTAGCCTTACAAAGTGCATCTATTTATAATAATTCATGCAAAACAATGATAATATATTGTTTACTAACATTTTTCTACTCTATTTTGAATATTAAAGCTGAATATTTAGACTTTAATTCATTTATATACAACAAAATCTAGGATAGGTAAATTTTCAATATTTTACATTTCGGGGTATATGCTCCAATAGGCAATAGAGGAAAAGTAAACATGTCGACATATATTTTTTCTTGTGTCTTTCCATTGCTGGGATGTATGTCTATCTTATAAAAGCAGATTTTTTAAGATTGAGCCCATTTGGTGCCGAGTGTAGAACTACCTTAAATCCGAAAGTAGTCCCATAACCAATCATGATCACTTATGGCTTTGTTATTCTTGAGAAGATTTTTTAAGAAATTCCTATATATGTCTATGTAAAACTTTGAACGGCCTTTGTGGCCCCGCCCTACCCCCAGGGGTCATGATTTGAACAAACTTGAATCTACACTACCTGAGGATGCTTCCATATAAATATGATAAATTATGGCTTTGCTATTCTTGAGAAGATTTTTAAAGAATTTTCTTATATCATTCAATGCAAAACTTTGATCGGCCATTTTGGCCCCGCCCTACCTCCATGGGTCATGATTTGAACAAACTTGAATCTACACTACCTGAGAATGCTTCCATACAAATTTGATCAATTATGGCTTTGCTATTCTTGAGAAGATTTTTAAAGAATTTTCCTATACATGTATATTTCTATGTAAAATTTTGGTCGGCCATTGTGGGCCCGCCCTACCCCCGAGGGTCATGATTTGAACAAACTTGAATCTACACTACTTGAGGATGCTTCCAGATAAATATGATCAATTATGGCTTTGCTGTTCTTGAGCATTGTTGAGAAGAAAATTTTTAAAAATTCTCTTATATATTTCTATGTAAAATTTTGGTCGGCCATTGTGGCCCCGCCCTATTCCCAGGGGTCATGATTTGAAAAAACTTGAATCTACACTACCTGATGATGCTTCTATATAAATATGATCAATAATAGCTTTGCTATTCTTGAGAAGATTTTGAAAAAATTTTCCTATATATTTCTATGTAAAACTTTGATCAGCCATTGTGGCCCCGCCCTACCTTCAGGGGTCATGATTTGAACAAACTTGAATCTACACTACCTGAGGATGTTTCCCCAGCAGTTTCATGTTTCCTGGCACAGTGGTTCTTCAGAAAAAGATTTTTAAAACATGCCACCAAATTATCACATATTCCCAATTATCTCCCCTTGAATGAAGG